GGGTAATTTTAGGTATTTATAATGTCTTCTAGCCTTCTGGGCTCCTCCCCGTTCGAAAGCAGCAGTTTTCGTTCTAATCTCAGGTTGTCTGCAGTATTTGTTACATTTTGCATTAGCACATGATTTATTTCGTGGATTATAGGCACCCAACACGAGGCTTTACTGTCTTGTCTTTTGGAGAACAAATCTCTACGGTTTTACTATGATTACAGATTGGAATGTTGTTTCTATGCCAAATATTTTGGTTTTTTAAATATCTATTTTGTTTATGTATTGTTGAAGATCGCATGTGTGGTATTTAGCAGCGGTTAGTGTCATCCTATTTGGGTTTTTTATCGCTGACTATAGAGTGTATTGTTAAGTTGCCTGAACATTTTTTAATTTTATTTTTTTTGGGCATGTTGCTCATCTGTGATGACTAGATAGGGGATTCTGCTAAGAAAATAGGGTATGAGGCATAAAACCACATCATGAAAGTCGGAATCAATAGACAAGGTGAGCGCTAATTCTCCGTCTTCCAGAAGGTTTCATTTGGCAAGCTGGTCTTATCTCAGCATCAACAAAAGAAGAGCCGAGGCAGATGAAGGCTCACCTGTTTCAGATCCATCAGTGGCTCGCTGACCTCCGACTCTATCGAATCGTAGTCAAGTCGGAACAACCAGAGCTCGAGGCGTGGCTTCAGATGGCTGATAGAATAGAGTGTAATGAGAAACTGCTCGGCCGGACCCATAGTAGCCCCGTCCTGCTCCGCCTTGGCCTTCATAATGGCTTCGTATTCCTCCTCCGTTGGTAGCATGGTATTCAGCAGTTTCTAGGGGCGACAAGAATGACAAGTTTGACAGTCGAATCCTCGACATATGAAGGAATGCAAATGCCATCCACAACTCACCCTTGAAAGCTCGTATGCATTCATGTGCATATGTTTATAGGCACATGCAAGCGCGCACATAATGGGCGTTTGTGTGCATAGTCGGCACTTTTTCCACATTCTAAGTCTGTGGCTAGGAGAGGGGCAGAACTCTTAAGCACAAATGTAAACGTTTTCGAACTCACATAAGTGTCTTTGGTGTGTTGAACTAAACCAATGATCATCCTGCCCCTCTTATATGGCGCCTAATTCACACGCCAGTTAGTCCGCCTCCTTTTTACATCACCCCACACCGGCCTATATGCGCATGCTAACCGAGGATCAATAAACATTTATATTTAAATAAATATATATAAATATATATACCAATATCCGGATATATACCTATATATAAGAGAGAGAATATCGCAAAGTCAGGACCAGCCGAGGGTGTGTAGGCCTTATGGGCGGGAGGAGTCCGGTCCGTGGAAACATCGGTGGTGGAAAAGGGCCAACCATTGAATGCAGCTTAGAGCGTCAACCTTCCGACTTTCATACAAAAAAGTCATGGCCAAACGCGATGTTGGCTGAATCTAGTTGTGTCTTGGTCACCAGAAGCGCTGACTCAAGCTTAGTCAGCCTAGTCGGGGAGTTCGGCCCGTGGAAAGTAGCCACTGCTTCGGTTTAAGTCGCTACCAGCAGTAGCCAGACATTATATATACGAGATGTATTCATCCAATTTCATTTAAGGTAATACGGGGACTGGTAGTAGAATCGTCTCACAATCATATGAGTAGAACTTATGTTTCCATTGAATTTCACATAGTCTTGCTTTCCCAAAAGATAGACTCATGAAGGCAAAGCTATGTAAAATTTAATGGAAACACAAGAGCTACTCATATCAATGCGGGAAAATCCAACTATCTTACTACCTTAAGCGAAATAGGGTGAATACGCCTAATATATATGATTTGCTAGTCGTTTTAAGATCCCACTTATTAACGAAAAATAACTATTCGGATATCACCGATTTAATGTACAAACCAAGACGGTGACCTGACATAATGGCAACTGTCGACGAGTCGGCATAGAAACGGCCTAAACTTTCACCCGTCAGTAACAGGGCCTCTTTGCCGAAGCTATCAGGAGGCTGGCTGGCTTTGAAGTAAATCGACTAGAAGGCTTGAATTTTTCACTTAAATTCATTTGCCAAACATGTAAAAAAGGTAGTCGGCATATAGACCTACCTGAATATCGGAATTACCACATCGCCTCGAACTACTTCGAAAATACCGAGGCCCTCAAATGAGCCTGATTCATGATGGCCTCTCAGCCCGATCGTCGATGGTCGAACCCCGCTTAGGGCAACGATGAGGTGACGATGTCGGATCGGACCTAGCCTGAATGTACGCCATATTTTTGGATGCATGCCAAAGTGAAATTTGATGCAATATGCAACCGGTTGCAAACATCCGCTTAATTAAGCACTTAGCCATCTGAGGCCACCCAAGCTGAAGTAACTAAGGGCAAATAGCCGAGGTTTTCCAGAATCAGATTAGTAGGCCTCAGAATGCCAGTGAAATTCCCTTAGGCTTGCCTCCCAAATAGCCGGACCTCTCCTCGGCCTCCTCAGCATCCCAAAGGGATTCGACATCTAGTCGTAGGCATCATAATGAAGCAAATAACCATGATCCTGTTTCGAGGTCAGTTGTGTGAAAAACCTCACCATCAGTCCGTAACTCACTTTAAATGGCCTAAGTTAATTGAATTCTCATTCGTCAATTACTGAAAGTCCCAAAACTTGCTCGCATCTAAAGAAAGTAACATCGTCGATTACATGGGCAAACATGTGTCTGCTTCATCGATAATCTCACTTTAAATGTGATTTGGGAAAGTCTCGATATGTCTGTGAGCCTTTGGCAACAGTGGTTGCGGAGTGTAGTGGCAATGCGTCACGATACACACGACCAGGCATTGAATCTAGTTGGGGGCTTTTGGTGAACAACGATGAGGACAAGTGAAATTGTTTGGCAACCTGAGGCCAAATAAGCTCATTTTGGGAGGACTCAACACTTAATTTTTAAGTCACCTTAAGCGATCTCAGATTGAATTCGAGCCCAACTTTTGTCATTATGTAAACATTTTTAATAGCATTGTAATACACTAGGTCCTGGATATCATCCAGGCGGCTATAGTTTTGAGCTCAATAGCGGCATTCGAATCGTGAATACTCGCGCTTGGAGACGAACGCGTAATTTAAACATTGGCCCTGACTTTCAATAGGATAGCAAGTCTCCTCTTCACCCGACTCCGATTACAGTCGTTGTCGGTCTCTGTAATTGGCAACTTCCTCGACTTAGAATTGTTGAGCTCACTTTCATTTTAAATAATGTTGTGATGAAGAGATACGTAGGTTGACTCCACCAGAAATTTTAGCAGATTTCTTTTGGTTGGAACGTCTCGAAAAACAGAATCATTTAATAGGCCCAGCCATTGTTTCCTGGTAAAAGAGGTCTACACATCAGACACCTTGACTCGCACTAAAAGTGAGCCCAAGCACAAAGTGAAGTGACCCTCCTGACAAAAACGGAGTCTAGCAGTT